TGGGAGGTCGTTGACGTAGATCAGAAACAGGAGTGGTCCCAAGACGGAGCCTTGAGGAACTCCAATGGAGACCGGCGCTGGAGAGGAATAGGTTGAGCCTATTCTGAGTTACAAGCATCAGTCATTATGATTTTCGACCAAGAGGGAAAAAATTGCGTCCCTGAAGAGCAAATACCCTCACAGAATTGGGTGTTCACAGAGCAAGCCTCCTGAAAACTAAGAGGCAGGGAACAAGAAAGGAAACAAACAAGGACCCGGAGAGTTTCTTAGGGAGTGAATTTGGCGATACATGGCAATAAAGGGAGTATTTCATCCCCATATTAATTCCTGTAAACTCCACCATTCGATGGCACTCGTTTGCTTCCTCTATCTGAATTAGCCAGCAGAAACTTTTGAAACGCCCCCGAGTGCTTTTACCTCCATTCATGCACCTCTGTCGATTTGGTCGCCAGCAGCTAAGTCGGAGTGCTGCGAAACAGGTCATAGTGGCAGGACGCCTGACCAGATAGGGCAAAGAAATACGCACTTTCGTCTCGGGAGCATCATGTAAGTGACCAACACCCAAAGCCTCATTGAAGGCTCGTTTCAAAAACCGGCAGCTTAAAAGAGCTTCTGAGGTCTGTCCTGCGATCTCTAGGTTTCACCAACAAACTTCTACAAAAGGATATACGGACCACTTTCCACTGCAAAACGCGCTTATCGAGCTACAGGGGCAAAAGCTTAACTGCCTCACCACAACTCTGTTCGTTGAAGAGCTACACTGGGTTCCATGGCCTACAAGATTGCTCCGGAACGGGTCCTCTAGCTTAACCTGGTTGAAACTACACATGGTAAGAAAGAAGGCTACCAAATTTTCAAGATTTCTTGATTTCGCCTTCGGCCTTTCCGGATATACCCCTATGAGCCCCTACACCCTGTTTATATCCGGCCATGGTTGGTATGGCTTTCGCCCGTGGTGTCCTCGCTTCAAGTGCGAGTGTGGATTAGCAGAAGCAGAAGGCAGCCAATTTCATATGTCGGCAAACTATCGTGCGACGTAAAGCCCGCGAATCTGAATATTTGTTCCATGACATACCGAGGCTGCGTGGTCACATTAGATTGACCGGCCAGCGCCTAGATAAAACAACCCACATCCGCCGCCTGCTTATGCATGTAAATACCGATATTCAGAAACTCGGCAGGAGAAGGAGCTTCGGTAGTCTAGAGTACGGTCCACCGGTGTTTTTGAACCTGTCGCTTACGTGCGGGCCAATCCAGAAATCGTTGCGAATTCACCCTGATCAGCATCTCCAGGAAACGCATGCTTGTTGTATTATTTGCTCAATGACGGAGGCACTCACGACCCTGTCCCGCAATACAAAAACCCCGAGGACGGGATTCTCGTCCCTAGGATTTGTGAGCGATCGGGAAGAAATATTGTTTGGTATATTCACAATATATAAGAGCGTCCACAAACGACAAACACCATAATGTGGAAATTCCAGCTGGTATATGCGCCATTTGCGATGTTCCTCATAACAACGCTTCATTATAGTTTGTTGTAAAGTGGGAACGGTCAAAAAGATGACTTAAGCTTCCCGGTAAATCGCTTTACAGCGTCTACGTCCATCTGGATATTCTACATCCATTTGGGGATGCACTCTAGGCCTTTGCAATGTTTACGTTAGTCCAGTCGGTGAAACTTTATTATCGTATGTTACCTGGTCGATTCGAAATTCTCATGGATACATGTAGTCGTAAAGTGCATGATCAACCTTTCGGAAGGTGAGCTAGTATTTGCTAAAAATGGAATCTTCAGTGGGATCTCAACCGCAGTTGAAACAAGTAACAGGCAGCTGAACACATGTGTAATATGTGAGTCGTACGCGGATAAAGTTCCGTTTAATGGTGGTGGTGGCCAAATTCCCTTAAACATTAATTTCATTTGAACAACAGACATGCTATCTAGCTGGTTTGTGACCACAAGTGTGGCGACTGGGAAAGTTTAATCCCTGTTTCAGCATTGCAGTAATGTTGAATCAGCCAGTTGGTAAGCCCATAGAGATCTATGTCATATTCAGTTTGTCTAGATTGCCCTGGTCAGATTATTCTAAAGGAGACTATAAAAACGAGCATCTGATTGCGTGAAACCTTATGGGCTGAACCACACAAAGACAGGTGCACCCTTTCCTTCTTCATTAAAACAGCTCACATGAAACCTCGGAGAATATTATGTTCTGCTTGTAGCCAAAACCATAAACTCATCCAATTCGCACCATGACGTGGAGGACAGAGGCTCCAGTGGCTCTAGGTGTAAACAAATCTGTGCCACATTGGTGCGCTCGTGCGGCAACCCACCGTTCTAAGACTAGAACACGGTTTTTTATGTCGTTTTCTCTGGGCATCCTTTTGTTGTTGCGCACATGATTCTGAAATACACACGCGGGATTAAACTTTTTCGTAATTACTCTCTTCGGATCACACTAAGCCAGACGTTATATTTGCTACGTTCAAGTTCCCGTAATCCGCGTAGCTGTTATTATGAAAGCATGTCTTATGATTCAAGCACCTTCCAATACAAATGCACCCCAAGTCATGAGGTACCCCCGGTCCCGTGTTGATCGCTCTGGATTTGTGCAATAATTGCATATAGCCCAAGTAATATCAACTATGTATTCAACTGCATAGTTACCTAGTAAGCAGTTGCAAGAAGACTGAATGAGTACTTCTGGTTAAAGTTCTCCCACGATCTTGGCCTTACCTCATTTGTTTTATGCCATAGTATCGCCGTGGTCATTGTTGCATTGAATCCGAGAGGCAGCTTTTGCTACCCCAGCATCTGATGACGATATTAACAATGTTTATTCCCAGCTTGTCCGTTGCATACCGTTAGGCGTGATTGCAATGTTACGGTCAGAATAAAAGCATGACTGGAGGTGATTGTGGACACAGGAGTTTAGGCAAAGGGACAGCACCTTGAGGGATTGACATTATCTGATGTAGGCATGATCACCACGAAACCGGCACCGGCAAAAAGCATAGTTACTATGCGTATTGCAGGGAATATCAAGGAAATTCAGGTCGTTAGGATATGATGATGGAGGGCAGAAAAACAAAGCGAAGAAGGGCAAAACAAGGGGCTTCCTGCCTGACACATGACAAGAAGGGTGTTGCGGTGAAAAATGAGAAACAGAACATTGGATCTGGTGAAGCGGCGTCATCCAGCCGGTCAAATTGAATTGAAACCCAAAACTACCACTAAGGCTCCGTTGCCCTGGACCGTTAGGCTCATGGCCAGGGTCACAAAGAGCGCAAGTGAGGACGATGAAGTTGAGGGATTAGCAAAGCAAATAAGTGGTAACAGAAATTCAGAAACACCTACCACTAAGGCTCCGTTGCCCTGGACCGTTAGGCTCATGGCCAGGGTCACAAAGAGCGCAAGTGAGGACGATGAAGTTGAGGGATTAGCAAAGCAAATAAGTGGTAACAGAAATCTCAGAAACACGGGGTACAGAAAAACTGAAGAAAATTGCTGGTGTTGCTCTTGTGGAGTCTTGCATAATGGTTTTTTAAGGGTAGGATGACGGCAACACACGGTCTGGAACAGGAACTGTACAGAGAGCTATTGAGTTTTGCGGGAAGCACAGGCACAGTGGATGGTTAAATTATAGCGAAAGGTTACGGAGATTGAATAAACATGTTATGAGTGTAGCTGGGGTCATATGGGGAGCTTGTCCTTATTTTCAGTCAACGAAAGAGGTAAGCGAGAGGGTACGGTTGAGAGAAGCGAGGAAATCTTCGCGTCTATGCTATCAAACTGGGTATAGCAGCGCCGAGCCGTCGTTGACATAACGTACTTCGGTTTTTGGACAGTACCAACTAACCCAAATGCCACCTTTTGAATTGTGTGCCGGTAAAGAAACTTGGAGTGGTCCTGTGGCGGAAGTTATGCGAATACCCGCCGATAAACAGTTGGCAAATCCCTGCTTAGAATTTCTTTCTTTCTTCTATTCCGGTTTTAAAAAGGTCATAGATGCTTCTGAAGCAAAAGAAAAGGACGTTTGTTGGGTACCACAACAACAGAATGGTCTCACACTTGATTTATATAATATCACGTCTCTCCTAGACATGTGCCTGTTGTATAGCGACCTTTGTAGCTAGTTTGAGTAGCTCAAGGAAGGAGGGGTGTCAATTGTGTAGATGAGTGCTTCACTCTTTGGTCTATCCAAAACAATTGGTTACCTGTGCACTGATTTCTGTTGTTCGTCATTCATGTGAATACCATTGCCATTAACACAAGTTATCACTTTCCTAAAATAGAAAAATGTGCCGAACCATTCTTCCAAACAAGCTACCGAAGAGCTAATCGTAAATTAGTCTGGAAAGGTAAAGCGCATGTCAGCGAACTCGTCAAATTTCATATTCCTATTAAAATAGAGTCTCGGAGATGTTCCATTCTGCCCCAGGTTGTCGTGTGTCGCTAGAAGTCACAAAAGTCAAATAATGAAAATCATTGTCGCGCTCACTCAGTATGTGACTGCAGTTCAACTTGCAAGCTGCAGTTGCTGTGTCTGACCGCTACGCATAGATATCACCACGAAACGTCTTTGTAAGACTACGTATTTGTGATCATACAATCGTGGTCATGTGATGGTGGTCACTCCACCAAAGAAAAGACCACTATCTTTAATAAACTGTGCGGCCTGACTTATCCGGATGGAATACATGGAATCCAAAGAAAAAATCCTAGCCTGGAACGTCGGTTTCTTTGGGGCCGCATTAGTTTTTCCCATAAACTTCCAGCCATGAGAGATTAGCGTCAGCGTGGGATATATTGCAGCCTAGAAGAGAATGAGCGCCGCGGAGACTTACCACAGTGCATTGTGCCATCAGTTATGCAACATAACCCCGATCAACGCATTTTTTAATGCAACGCGCGCTGGAATACTACTTGTCACTCATCCAGCCATCAGCTTGCTTCAGTTTGATCGATGCAAATTATCGTCTGCATTTTTTTCCTGGTGATGTGCATAGTGCTACACAGCTTACCTGCGTGCGTCGTCTTTTAACTCCACTGTGAAATTCAGCAAGCACACTAAGGATGATCACTGTTCTTGAACGATCCACTAGTTGTGAGATATTTGAAGAATCCTCATGAGAACCAGCCGTTCCAGCGCAGAGGTGTAGTGTTCGATGCTCCATTAAGGAAAATACAGCTGAAACTGCTGTCACCTTTGGTGGAAATGAGAACACGAATGCGTGGCACACAGTGCTTCATCTACACCAATAAGCTTTCATTATTGTTCTGATTACACTGACAGAGCATCTAATAGTATAGTTCAAATAAGGGCAACACAATGAGCCTGAGTTTGCCACTCATTCCTGATTGTTTTACTCTGTACTATTTCTTTGACCGGACGCAAATGACACGCGTCAGCAGTAGCTCATAGTTGCCTTTCAAAAGTCAAAAATCTGTCACTTATCTCCAAAAGTATCCATAACAGTGAACGGACCTTTAAATTGGCAATACTTTACCAACAACAGAATATAAATTACGCGCCTAGAGGTGAGCCGCTGTTAGATGCAATATTGGTTAGTTGCCCTTGCATAACAACTTTATTGGCTGATGTGCGGAAGCGCCTGCGCGAGCAACGCTTTTTTTTCTATGCAGAGATCTCATTTTTCAGAATAAGCAAGGCTTACCAAACAAACTCACTCGAATTAGGATGCGCCAAAAGGCCGTCTGATTGCAAAGTCTCAAAAGCCGGCGGAAGGAGGACGCACAGCCATGAACCTGGAAAAGGTTAGCAGATTCCTTGCTTTTACTCACGATAACGAAGCTATTTCTACCAAACGCTAAACATGCAACCCGGTCCCAGATTTACCTTGAAGGCATGCAAGTGTGTGGGAAAACGTATAATGGAACAAAGTGGTGTGGCCTGACCCAAATTTCCGCCACGAACTTCCGTTACTGAGTCCTGACGTCGGCAGCCTTATGCAAAGTCTGAGCCAGGAAGTGAGTAGGCATAAAAATTTAGGGGCACTGAAAGCTCGTAACTGACAAAACTGCTCCGGGATTTGCGCTAGTTTTAGGGGCCGATGTATCACTGGAAGTACACGTGAAGTTTCACTCTGTCTGAAAATTTAGGGGCACTGAAAGCTCGTAACTAACAATACTGCTCCGGGATTTGCGCTAGTTTTAGGAGGCGATGTATCACTGGAAGTACACATGAAGTTTCACTCTGTCTTTCGTAACTGACAAAACTGCTCCGGGATTTGCGCTAGTTTTAGGGGCCGATGTATCACTGGAAGTACACGTGAAGTTTCACTCTGTCTTTAAATATTTCTCACTTTTTCTTTCACATTTTGTTTTCTTTTTAACTTATTTTCATTTTTTGATCGCATTTATTTTTTTCTGAACAGTATAGTTGTAACCGAATTTTTCCTCCAAGCTGGTGGTGCACATCGCTATATAGGTCTTGATTGTTTGTTGCCTTACCCAAGGACGTTCACAGAATTTTACTTATAAATTTCGGCACGTACGGAAACATCATTTTTGGCCCGCCCTGACACCCAACGTGTTGCATTTCGTGTCATTATTCGCAGCCATTTGTATTCAGACACACCTTAAAGACCTTGATTTCCGGTGGTTATAATATTTTCAAAATTAGTCATGATAGCCTCCGATGTCCCATTGATGCCTTCCAATTCTGTTGTGCCCATGACATAAGATCAGTTAACGTTATACAAAGAAGAAAAATCGAGTCAGAAATCCTCCAGAAATTGCTTTTATTTGGCCAACAGGCATACTGGATAAATTGAAAGCCTGCCACACTCACCGGCAAGCGCTGACCATGCTTGCCGTTCCAATGGAAGTATCTGACAAATATCAACATGAGATCAGAGAGTTTTGTGTTGTATCTTAGTCGTATTACTGAAGTGGTGTTAGTGGGTGGAGAGTTATTTTATTCATATGCTCATTACTTTCATTCATCACGACCGTTGTTTGAGCAACTCTGTAGGGGCCTCGAAGTGCACTCCGAAACTGTTCGTGCACCGGAGGATATGCAATTTTTTGAACTGAACCCTGCGCGTCATTTAGTGTCAAGAGTATAAGGCCATTCAGCACATTTTGGACCTTTTGTCAAACCTGAGTACTTGCATTTAGGACAGTTTAAGCACTTTGTTAAATGTTTTACCGTAAAATAGTGTATCTTTTGACCTGTTAGCTCTCTCGCTGAAGGATACAACGGCCACAGAGACTGCTCTGCAAGATTCTCGCAATTGCACACAACTTTATAGCAGACTTCGATTTTACCAGAATTATTTTAGGATGAAGACGAAAATGCACTGCAACAAATCTTCCTAACGCGGAAGTTGTACCTTTTTCTTTTAATCATGATTACGGCGAAAACAGTGGCCAGCCGCCGTCCGATTCGGGCAACTTGTCAACCTACCCGAAGTATTTGGCGAAAACAGGTTTTTCGCCCAAGTCACGTTAAAGCTCTTAACCGTTTGACGGTTACGACGGGTTGTGTGAAAAATGACGGTAGCTCTATTTATAGTGCTTTAATTGGCTCCCCACTCTTCGCCTCATTTGTTATCGTAAAGAAAACACATACCCGAGTTTTAAGTCAAACGACTGCCGTTTGAATAATTTGACAGCCCATTGGAAATCGCTCCATGTCACTCCCTTGAGTCATGCTTGAGGACCAAATATAAGGCAAGAAAATCTTCGGAAGCATTTAGTATTTAATTCAGTAGCATCAGAATTTAGCTTCAATTAGTGCAAGGAATTTAAGTTGCCGCAGTTAACGGAATGACCAAGCCTAGTGCAGGCAGGCTAGAAACTATAACCCCGAAACCGTTATCATTTTGTCGCGGGGTCAATGAAGTAGACATATGTGCTTGTCGCGCAGCTTTTCTGCTTAACCGGTACCGACTTCTTGATTGAGAAACTGTTGTAATTTGCTGCACGGTAGCGCAACTCTTTATCGGTCCCTTGGCTTCCTGCCCCGACCACTAGGGTATATCAAAAGGCACGGTAGCTCTACAGAGCCCTTTATGGAGACGAAGGAAAATTATTACAACTGTACTTATAGAGTAGTCATAGAGTGTTCCACAAGGTTGTACTAGAGACACCGTGAGGATGGCAAGAAGCATCCCGTCAAGGATGCTCGACCTGGATTGGCTGGCGTTCTGAGCAATCAGGTCACGCCTTCGTTTGGCCCGTGTCCTGCAGGTGACACATCCGTCCAAATGATACGATGCATGGTTAGTAGGGATTGCTGGCCTTCGAATAGAAACACACCTGGCGAGCTATCCGCCAGTTAATTTGGCGATTTACGTCAGAAAATGTTTGCTCAGAAACAGCCAGAGAAATGAGTAACGAAACAATTTTATTGTAGGGATGACAACCCAGGGGTTCTTCAGCCCGCCGACGAACCGTTGCCATCATCGCCTCAGCGCCAGCTATCTACCTCTTCATTAATCAGGGGAAATTTTCTTTTCTTTAGTTTCCAAATCCGCTCCTCTCCATATTCCCCTTGTTTCTGGGGGATGATTCCAATGCGATGTTTTACCCACCTGTCCACCAGCAATGAACTTGGTTATCCACAATATGTTGCATTCCATACTGACTTTTCAGAGCTCAAACTGATTGATACAAATGAGACCATTCTGCAACTCGCGAGCAGCTCATCAATTGAAGATTAACTGTGTCGTCACAAGTAGACGTTGGCCAGAACGAAACCTGCAAATACATCGTCATCATCGACAGCGTGACATCCTCGTTCAACACCTGTGCTTCAATGCTGTATAGCCATGATATATTTAAAAACCTATTGTAAAGAACGGAATAAAGGTGGATGAGGAATGGACTCAGCGCCGGCCTACTACAATCATTCCGAGGTGCCTGCACCTGCAGACATTCACTCAGGCAATCTAGATGGGAACTGACAACAAGAACTTCACCGACATCGGTCGGCAGCCGTATCCTGTAGTGTCGCTTTCTAATTACCCAGTTACCAATAAGCCGACACCAACCTACACGAGTTATGGTTCTAAGAGAGCCATTGTCGAACACTTGAATACGTCTCAGTTCCGCCGCTAGAACAGGCTAAGTCTCACAGCCATGCAACAAAACATCTCGCGCTGTAGCTTGATACACACTTCTCCAGAGATTAAGGTGTCCCAAATTGGCAACGGCGACTCGGACCTCGCAGATTCGTGCACTGACTCTATCTGTCACACGACAATCAGAACTGATACATTTTCTAAGATATGAAAAAAGATTCACATGGCCCGGCGTTATGGTAGCTGTCTGTACCATGTATCATAAAATCCTCACGCTATATCCCGTGGCAGCATCTTGTATTTTGACGTTTAGTGACGACATCCCTAGTATTCTCGGCCGCCTTTCATGCCTCTACATGTTCCCCCTTCCTTTTTTGCTAACTGGACAGCGTCTTCCACCATCATTCTGGGAAATTTGTGTGTGGTTGCATTTGAATGATGTGCAGCTTGGTTTAAACAGCACGTTGGCTTTCCTTACACAGAAGTACAGGCGTACTTGAGCAAATACCCTAGAATTCTTTGGGTAACGCAGCCAAAAGTAAGCATCATGTATGCTCACAGGTTGCGAGGTAGTTGAGCAAAACGATGCGACTGTTGGATAACTCAGCCAACACCGAGTAGCCAGCCACTCTGCTAGAGCACATAGTCTGCACGTGAGTTTCGGTGGCAGTATAGAGGTTTTCTATTAGGCTGTAACATTTTAACGAAAATGCGACTTTGAAAGTGAAGCCTCGTTCTTCAGGTTTACTACTCTTGATGTGGCTCACAATGTGCACTCTGCAGAAAGATGATCCATCTTCT